TGGATGATAATGGAATAGTTTAGGTTAGATGGGCTTCAGATTGGTTTCACAGGTTGGCGCAACATCGAGGGCCGAAGGGCCTGTACTGCGCTGTAATGTTCTATGTTCTATGTTCACAACAATTATTAAGGTAATGGTACAGAAGTACATACAGTTCTTCACTTGCTATGAATTATTGATGGAGATCCAGTGGATCAAGATTCATGTCTAAGACTTTTCAGGAACATAGAACTCTAGAGCACAGGAACAGGCTGCTTGGCCCACAATGTTGTGTCGAACATGACGCCAAATTAAACTAATCCCTTCTGCCTGCCCATTGGTCCACATCCCTCCATTCTTTGCATATTCATATTATGGGAAGGTTTGAAGAGGCTGAGAATAACACAGTTATAGTTTTCAGCCTATCACTGCAGACACAAGCAGCTTTAAAACAGTACCATTAAAACCATGATCATGTTGAGTCCATCACTATTTCTCTTTTTTTTCTCAGTTTTGGTTTGCAGTTGAGAATTGAAATTTGGATGGTGTCTTGTTTCTTTAAAAGAAACGGAGAGAATAAAAGACAGATGTTTGCTGCTGGGAACTGGCCTGGAAAGATAATGCAGGTTAATCACTGCTTAAAGAATAATGTAGATGAACCAGCACCAAGACATTGTTATTCTCATGGACTGGCAGCTGATTGGATGTTAAATTGGTCAATCAAGAGTTGGTCAGCCAACCTCAAAGAATATTGAAAATCCAGCTGGGTGAAAAGATGCTTCATAAACTTCCCAGAGACCAATAAACAAAGATGCAGTGTAATGCAAGATGTGTCATTTATCAATCTTTTAATATCATTTATTTGGGAGCTCAGATTTTGAATCGGTGCAATGTGGGTTTTGGTCTGTGCATAGGAGGCTTTCTGGAGCCATGTGTTTGTTCAAACAAAAACAGCATTAAATAAGTGGCTCCTGGAGTGTAATCGGAATTTATTTGTATTATGAGAAATTTTCTGAGTGTTTAAGTGCATTAAGCTTTCAATTAGAAAGGTGTGCAATGCTTTTTTGCTTAGGCAAGCCACCCACTGAATTAAAAAAGAACTGCAAATGCTGGAAATCAGAAACAAAAACAGAAATTGCTGGGAAAACTCAGCAGGTCAGGCAGCATCTGTGGAGAGAAAGCAGAGTTAATGTTTCGGGTCCAGTGACCCCTCTTCAGAACTGATTGTACCTAGGAAAAGGCTGATAATTATGATGAAGGTGGGGTGGAGGAAGGAATAAATGATAGATGGAGATGGAGATGGAGCCCAGAAAGAAAGAATAACAATTGGTCAAAGAAATGGGTAAAGGTCAGCCTGGGGGAATCAATACCTGCTCATGGGGACCATTAGTGGCTGACAATGGTTGTGATAGCAGCCCATATGATGCCAAGGCATTGGGTGCGCGGCTTGGGGTAAGGACATGGGAGAAAGTGTTCAGGCCCGAAAATTATTGAACTCGGTATTGAGTCCTGAAGGCTGCAGGGTCAAGTAGATTCTGAGTGGATTTGAAACACGAAGGATAAAACCCATTGAATAAGTTTTGCATTGATAATAAACCAATAGCTGCGTTCATGAACAAATCTGATTAATAGATTTTGCTGCTTAACCACTGATACAGACAAGGTACTACAGTAACTGAGAAAAGTAGTTTTTATGTTGTGACTCTTTGAGTCATGAGTCTAGACAGTGCATTCCTCCAGTTATTATTTAGTGAAGGAGCAGATAGGGTCAATGGAGGTCATGCAGTTGATTGTGTATTGCGATCTGTCAAAAGGGAATCAAAGTCTCACATAACAGACGCATTAAGAAAACTGGAGCACATGCTGGCAGTGAAAGAAGCTGGTAACTTGAGCAGTTAATTGGCTGAGGAATAGGAAGCAGAAGGTATTGGGATATGTTTCAAACTGGAGCACTATGTGTAACCTGCATCTCCAAGGGGCGAGTACAAGAACTGTTAATTCATTCGCCATATATAAAGGGTCTGGACTTGGGTGCCAGGAGGAGAAGATTTGTAGTTTGCAAAGCAACAGTGAGGCAGATAGTAACAGGCTTCAGGAGCTGACCTGGGGAAACGGCACAGGAAAGGTAATGCTGAGACGTGTGAATTGATGAACTTTGGGCGGAGGAACATACAAATTAGCATTATCAGAGTTTTAATTTGTGATGCAGAATAGCCAACCTGGATTTCAAAATAAGTCACCCTCAACCAAGCTTATTTTAGTCTTGAAAGTAGTAGCAAGTGTGGACAAGGGTGATGCAGTGGGTTTATCTTATTTAGATTCTTGAGAAGGACTTTACAGTGGACTCATGATGAAGGGCACAAGATGTAGGCTCAGGTAATTAGGGGAACAGGATGCCAAAGAACAGAATGGCAAGTAAGCTAGTGGCAGGGTTAAAGGTCGTGGTGGAAGGTGGGAAATGGTGTTCCACAGGGATTGGTGCTGGGGCCTCTACAAATCACTCAAACAATACTGCTTTGATAATCAGGAGAACAACTTCAACGTTTGCAGACTTCACCAAAACTGGCTGGAAGATAAAATTGTGACCCCACACGGGAAGATGTTAATTAACTCAAGGATCAAATGTGTAAATGATCAGTCCACCATCAGCACTACTACGAAGTAAGAATCCGAAAGGATTTGTTTCTGAAGTGAACTGTTTGAATGTAAAAGGAAAAAAAGCACCTGCCACAGTGAGGACAGAGATACCGTACAGAACAATGTGCAGGCCCAGCCCACGATGGCCAAGTATCAGACTAGGGAAACTCACGAGGTGTGGGGAAGGCTGGACCAGCCTGGGATATGGGGCATCAGTCACACACTACACCAGCCCAGGGTATGAGATCCTGTGACACAGTGGGTGATTACAGCTATCATACAGATTCTCCTGAACTAAACAGCCCAAAGACTCTGGCATTTGCTTCTTCAATGAGGATTTCACATGGAGCCCACAATGTGAACGGCATTCAGCTAACCTCCAGCAACGGGCCCCATCCCTTGGCAACAGGCCCCCATCAGCAACAGGCCCCACCGCTCAGTGACAGGCCCCATCCCTCGGCAACAGGCCCCAGTCCTTGGCAACAGGCCCCATCCCTCAGCAACCGGCTCTCGCTCTCGGCAACAGGCCCCCATCCCTTAGCAACAGGCCCCACCTCAGCAAAAGGCTCCATCCCTCGGCAACAGGCTTCATCCCTTGGCAACAGGCCCCACCTCTCGGCAACAGGCCCAAAGAGCGATAAAATGCATGAATAAAAACAGCAGCAGCCTCCTTTATTGTTGTAAACAATTTAATAACTATATATAATATTATATATATATCGAATAAAACACCCAAAGTAACACTGAACATACCCGGGCTACACTCTCACATCAGAATGTCCCACATGTGTTGAGATCTGGCTGTGGTCAGCCAATGAAAGCAGGGGACAGAGAAACAGGAAAGAAAAAGTATTTGAAAATCAAAACTCACCGATATATTTAAAAATAAAATATATAATCTCGGAAACCCACTCTCTCCAACCAAACTCATTTATATTGGGAGGGGGCAGTTAGAGGTGTGGGAAATGGTTCAGAGGCCAAATGGGGTTGGGGGAGTGGGCCGTTCCTTGACCCCGGCATTCCGTGGGGTCCGGGTGGCTGGGGAAGCGCAGGGTGGGGTGTGTGTGGGCCAGGGCATGACTGTGTTCATTGCTCCCTTACCCCGAGGTCCCAAAATTTGGGGGAGACCGGGTTTCGGCTGAGATACGGACCTCGGGATTTGAGTGGGATGCGGTCCCTGGATCTCGTGGGGAGTTGGGTCCTGGGGCTAAGGGCCCTTGTGGAGTTCTAGGCTTGGAGGGGGGCACTGTAGGGTTCGTTTCGGGGATGGCAGGCCCTGGGGGAAAGGGGTACGTGTTACATTTGCTCCGAGTCTGTTGCCGGTGTTTCAACATGGTTGTGGTAAACAGTGAGGGTGCCAGGGTTTGGTGGACATGCCCATAGAGTCACCGTGTCCGGTCGTGTATAATCATTTCCGATTCACCGTCTCCATCAACAGGGGACCTGTAGGAACGTGCAAGGCGGGGAGAAAGGGTGTTAGTGTGGGGCTTGGATACATTTCTCGCCACGTTCTGTACCATCCACCACCACCCATAGCCCCGAACCCCACCCCTCAGCATCCAATTCACAGCCCAGGCCCCTGGGCATTGTACCCAAATCCTAATTCCCCAGCCTACGTCGACGGAACTCCCAGCCCTACCCTCCACGCTGGAAGTCGCACCTCTGTATAACAGCTGGCCCACCGTGCTGACCTGTTTGTGTTTCGTCCAAAGGGAATGGTGTAGTGTGCACTCAGCCTCGTTCGGACTGCTCTGTACTGCTGGTCTTGGCAGCTCTGTGCTGAAGGCAGAGAAAACGCAACTTAATTCACTCCCTTCTTTATCACAGGGCGCACCGCAGCTTCATGAAGAAGCTCAATGGAGCGGTGGGAGTTTTAAATGCACACAGCAACTACAAAAACCAGGAAATATTTATTGCTCCATCACTGGAATGTCACTGGCATGGTCAGAAACACCTCGTGCCTGTCTCTGTAAAGGTGACGACATCTTCTCGAAAACTGTCCTGTGGCTCTCAATGGGCAGTTCAGTCAGCCACAGTGCTGTGGGTCTGGAATCTCATGTAGGCCAGACCAAGAAATGATGGCAGATTTCTTTCTTTGTGAGTGTACGTATGCCTGTGTGTGTGTGAGAGAGCAGTGTGTGTATCTGTGTGTACATGCGTGCATGTGTGAGTGACAGTGAGCAAGTCTGCGTGTGCGTGTGTCTGTGTTTGTGTGTGTATGACAGAGAGACAGTTTATGATTCTGTGTTTTTATGTTTGCGTGTCTACTTGAGTGTGTGTCTTTGCACACATGTGTGTGAGAGAGACATTGTGCATGCATGTGTGCCTGTGGGTTTGTGTGTGTGTGTGAGAGAGAGACATAGATAGATAGAATGTGTGTGCATGCCTGTGTGGTCTGCCTTGGTATGTGCATGTGCTTCTGTGTGTGTACGTATGTGAAAGTCTGTGTCTATGTATGTGTGAGATACAGTGAGAGAATATGTGTATGAGAATGCACATGCTTGTGTGAGAGTGAGACTGCGTGTGTGTTCATGCTTGTGTGTGTAAGAGTGTGTGACTGCGTGTATGTATGTGTACATCTGTATGCATGTGTGTTTGTGTGTGAGGCATGTGTAAGTGTGATTGTGGCTGTGTTTGAGGGTGTGTATGTATGTGAGACACTGTGTGTACGAGAGATTGAGAGTGTGACAGTGTGTGCATTTGAATATATGCGCATGTGAGAACGTGAGTGTGTGTGCATGTGAGAATGTGTGTGTGAGGGTGTGTGTGTGCGTGTGTGAGGGTGTGTGTGTGTGCATGTGTGAGGGTGTTTGTGTGCGCGCATGTGTGAGGGTGTGTGTGCGCGCGCGCATGTGTGAGGGTGTGTGTGTGTACATGTGAGAACATGAGTGCGTGTGTACGTGCATGTGAGAATGTGAGTGCGTGTACATGCATGTGAGAACGTGAGTGCATGTGAGAACATGAGTGTGTGCGTGTGAGAACGTGTGTGCGTGCGTGTGAGAACGTGAGTGTGTGCGTGTGTGAGTGAGAACGTGTGTGTGTGAGCCTGAGAACGTGAGTGTGTGTGTATGTGCATGTGAGAACGTGTGTGTTTGTGTGCGTGTGAGAGAACATGTGTGTGCGTGAGAACGTGTGTGT